GTGGTCATCTATGTAAAGACGAAGCTGACCATCTCCTTCCCAAACAGACGAGAGAGCGCGCGCACTTTATGCTTTCTTAGAGAAACGTGCGCGCCCGGCCACAGGAGTACCTGTTGAGGCTCTTGGTGAAGAGTGGAAGGGAGTGTGGTCTGGTCAGCGGTGGAAAGGACAAACAAGGTTTCTCCCATGAGGCAAGGTGTCTTGGCCCATGGTGGAGTGCGTCTGCCGTTGAGTAAGGGAATGGCCGCATTCCAAAAACACCAAGAAACTGCCCTGATCTGCTTGCCTTAGTGTTATGTGGGATGGACTTTTCTTTTAAACCAATAGGATTAACACTCAAACAAAACACCACAACCTGATGAGGTATTATCTTGTCTTGCCCCCACCCTCCCCATCATTAAGGTAAAAGAACAGGGATACACATAATAAGGTGGCAAGTCACAAGCTTAGAGTAGAAGTGTTAACTGTCTTAGCAGCCATTATCATCCTAGACCAATTACTGGTGAAAGCCCAGTGTATCCTCATGAGCTATCAGGGGGCTAGTGAACTCCAGAGGAAGACTGTTGGTCTCCAGCACTGCCTTCCTCCCACCGCTGGGCTCTAAACTGCTTTCAGAATTCTTTCTAAAACCTGCACATGGCGGTGGGAGCTTCTCATCCCAGAAGCTAGGAGGTAAAGCAGCAGGATCAGGGGTTGGTGGCTAGCCTTGGCTACATAGTGGCACTGACAATAGATTGACTTTATAAGACCTCGTCTCAAAATTTAAAGAACTGGACTGATTAATCTCTCCTTGGCTCAAAACTTTATGTTACCAAAAAAAAAATCATATAAATTCCTTACCCGGGGTTACCAGGACTTTATTCTAATACCTGGCCTTGGCTGCTCCTTAAACTCCACAAGAAGCTCTCTCTGGTCTTCAATCCCACACCACCCACCATCAGGCTCTCCGCTGGATAGTTTTCTTTTTTTTTTTTTGAGGGGGGGATTGTTGTTGTTGCTGCTGTAGTTGTTAGTTTGTTTTGTTTTTTGAGACAGGGTTTCTCTGTGGCTTGAGGCTGTCCTGGAACTAGCTCTTGTAGACCAGGCTGGTCTCAAACTCACAGAGCTAATGCCTGCCTCTGCCTCCCAGGTGCTGGGATTAAAGGCGTGTGCCACCAATGCATCGTCTCAGAAAGTCTCCTTTTGACTTTTCCACACTCTAGTACCTGTGAGAAGTTCTCTCTCTCTCTCTCTCTCTCTCTCTCTCTCTCTCTCTCTCTCTCTCTCTCTCTCTCTCTCTCTCTATTGCGGGGCTTTGAGCCGTTTGTGTACTAAATCAGGGGTCACTGTAAGGGGCAAACATTAAATTTATTCACCTTCATATCCCTAACCAACACCTCGCCAAGTCCTCACCGTGTCACTGATGATTGTACAAATTCACTATAGTCAGTTCATAAGTCTACAAGACAGCAAATAATATTTAAGAGGGAAAATGAATAACAAGTAGCTCTATTTTGTTGTTGTTAAGGAGAATTCTCTAAGATGCTCTACTTTCCTCTCCTTACACAGCAGATTTGCGCTAAGAACTTAAATGGCATCCACGTAAGTGATATCACAGACACTAAAATAATTTGCATCTCCTGCAGCATCAACAATCGATAGAAGTGGAAATGGCAGGTCCAGCCACAATAGGAATTGGAGGGCTCTGGTCCAGCTGCAGATGTGCTCTGTGTGTCTAAAAGAAAAACCTGTGTAGCATCTGTGCCTACTGTATCTCTTTATGAAAGAGTTAACACTGCTGACGTTTCTTCTGACCCCAGAAAGCTGGGGCTTGTCCCTACACTGACATCTGCCCGCCCATAGGCCTGCTACACAGAGAGCATGCAGGCTACCGAGCCACGGGAAAATTACCAGATCCAAGTTCTAGGTCAAAGCGCTTTCGGCACCCCCAGGACAAATACGGTTTCATTCCAATTAAAGCAGATGAGATGCACATTACTCTTATTTCTTTAGCATCCCCCTCTTGAGTGTGTGTGTGGGGTGTGTGTGTGTGAGTGTGTGTGTGTGAGTGTGTGTGTGGTGTGTGTGTGTGTGTGTGTGTGTGTGTGTGCACGCGCTCGCGCCACAGTATGAGTCTACTCATACTTCTAAGTCAGAGGACAACTTCCAGGAATTGCTTCTGGAGAGAAGCACATGGGTTTTGGAGGTCAAACTCACGTTGTCAAGCTTGGCAGCAGGCACCTTTGCCCACTGAACTGCCTCATCTCCCCAGCTGCCCATTATCCCTGTTTCTAATTATATTGTCTTCTGTGTCTACAGTCCTTTTCCAAGCATTTTTAGAGTTACTGTACCATAGCCCACTTTATCACTCCACAAGGGTGAGAGACTTACTTCTCTGTTGCCTTGTTACTAAAAGAAGTTCAAGTTCATAGACACCTTGAGGGTCATAAACACAGACGCTTGCACGCCTCGAGCTTGCTCTCCTTCTGACTCTGTATCACAATGAAGCCCTATCTTCTCTCTGCACTGTTTGAAAAATCATTAGGATGATTCTCCAGCTTGGAGGTTTAGTCCATTAAACCAAAGTCTTAGGCTCATATGACAATAATTTTCTAAGCATGCAATAAATACAAATATATTTACATAAAATATACAAATGTAAAACAGATGTGCCTATAAATACAAACGTACAATGTGTATTTTACGTTTAATAAGAATCTCTTCCACCAGAACTCAGGGTCTCTTTGATCTTTCTGCCTGTAAATGAAAATTTCTTAACTTTGTTACCCCATCAACTGAGTCACTTCCACTGAGATCACTGTTCAACAATGCAACTTAGACTTGAGAATCCAGTCTCTGTCAATGTTTCACACTCTGCATAACCTAGGAGATCCTTGTTAAAACTTCTCTTGAATTTATAAGAAATAAATAGTTCTTCAAAAAGGGCCTTGTTACCAACACAGAAAATTTTTTTGTTCTTTGATGCAATTTAATATTTTTTGTTTTTTATTTTTAAATTTAAATTAAGCAACAAGGTTGCTTCACATGTCAATTCCAGGTCCCTCTCCCTTTCCCTCCCCTCCTCCAGCGCCCTCCTGCCAACGCCCCCAATACCCCCTCCTTTACCCAGGGAAGGTGAGGCCCTCCATGGGGGTGTCCATAGTCTGTCATTTCACCTAGAGCAGAGCCTAGTTCCTCCCCCAAGAGTCCAGGGTGAGAGTGCATCTCTCATTGTGGGATGGGCATCCAAAGTCCATTTGCATGCCAGGGATAAATACTGATCTACTACCCAAGGCCCCATAGACTGCCTAGGCCTCCTCACTGACACCCACATTCAGGAGGTCTTGATCAGTCCCATGCTGCATTCCTAGCCATCAGTCTGGGATTCAAAAGCTCCCTCTTGTTCAGGTCAGCTGTTTCTGGGGGATAAACCAGCCCAGTGTTGACCCCTTTGCTCATCAGTCCTCCCTCTCTGTCACTGGGTTCCTTGAGTTCAGCTCAGCCAACACAGAAAATTTTAAAGCAGGATGGAGTCAGTGAAGAATTTTTTCCCAACAAAGAAAGATAAATCATCAAAATTAATCAAAGAAACCTCTTATATAACACGCCAAAAAGCTGACTTTAAAAAAAAAAAACTTACTGAGACTATCTATATGTGAGAACACCTAGCCTGAAATCACAGTTCATAGTATCTCTTAGAGTTTATATAACTGGAAAAGGTTGTTCAAATTCCTGTAACATTTAAGAGTTAGAGTCTATCTGGACTTCAGTCTTAGAGATCACATTATGTGGTGGGAGTAACGGAAGTCCCTCTCAACACTGCCGAGGCACTATCAGCCGCATAATCCAGGCAGGATGTTACACAAAGCCTCTCACTCCCACACTCTGCAGACCGGGAGATTTCCTGAGCACCAGAACAGACAGCTCTACACGGGGAGCATTGCTAACGACCTGTCTATCAAGTGAACTAAATCCTATTCTATACATGAATAAAGCTTTCTTTGCAGACTTGAAAAATTCAGGTATACTAAGGAAATCAACGATGGTACAATGTATGGTTTTTTGTTTGTTTGTTTTTTGTTTTAAGTAAACAGCAAGTACCAGGGCTGGCCCTGTGAGCACAGCAGGCTGAAGTAGCTCTCACAGGCCAGCAACAAGCTCCCACACAGGCTCTCAAACGGTGCGGAGCGCTGGCTCCAGAAAGTTACATCTGAGCCAGAGCCAACGCACCTCAATAATCCGGATGACACAAGAATTTCAACTTGAAGACGGGCTTAGAAGACATCGCTTGGCGTATCATTTGTTCTGTCCGGGCAGGCAGCAGCACCTCTCCCAGGACAAGAACAGTCTGCACACATTTCAAATCCCCCCCCCAACTCCTAATTCACACTTTAGAATGCTTTCCTCCAGCTCTTGAAGCTGATAGGTTCTCCACACATAATACTACGTGGGTTCTGCCTCCATTTTACCTAAGCTGAGCGCTCATGCCATTTCATCTTTATAAAGCTAATTCTTTCCCCTAGCCTGAGTACCTTTAATTGACACATATCAGAAATCACCCCCGCCCTAGATGATTGTAGAAAGTTAAAATAGAACTCTATTCATCATAATTCCAAGTGAGTAGGACTTAACAACAGTTAAATTGAAACCCACTGTTTGTATCAAACAGATGAAATTTCTAACATGCTTTGTGTCCTTGACTCACACTCCATGACTATAACCCAAGACTACACATTATTTTCTCACACACCCCTTTATTATAATGATGCGCTTTATTACAATGAAGCACAATTTGTGATCAAGTATATCTACCATTGTACAAATATACATTCACAAGGGAAAAAACACTTTGAGCTAATCAAAGAAATACCTTTTCAATTAAGACTAAAATACAGTACCCCAAATATGTCAACCGACAATTAGATAAATCTCCAACTGAATGTGAAATAAAATAGGAAATACTAGCCACCTTTTACTATTGAGCTATTAACTTACCTTAAAATTAGTAGCATGGATCTTACCTTTTTCTGGACTTAAGTTTTTATACACTTCAAGGTCTGCCATTAAATTTAATATTGCTACACATTATTGTCCAGAGCAATAAGATTTTTCTCTAAAGGCAAAGCCTTTTCCTGATACACATCTCCAAGAGGGGGGCAGGCAAAGAAATCCTCAACAGCCCCAAGAACTTGGCTCGTGCTGCCCCTGATGGCATGATGACATCTTCACGGTCCGGGCTTTATCATGGAGAGAAAATAAATCCATGAGGTGACTGTAGAAGTTTGTATCAGAGTGAACAGCGCAGCCAGATAAGCAAGGGTGGCGGCATCTGCTGTGCCTGCCGTCACTGTGGGAATGCAGGCGCTGTGGCTACTTAGGCTGTGAGACATGCATGCTTAGTGAGTGCGGGCGCTGAACGCCCTGAAGGCATTATGCACATTTCCTGTCTGGGAACTGTAGGTCTTTAGACATCAAAGAAACCCTCCTCACCTATGGAGGTCACTGAGAGACACCGATTACCATAGGAGTGACGCAGGCTGAATGCAGAAAATGAACGCGCACACACAGGAGACACACAGAGGCACGCACACACACAGGCTGCGTGCAGGCTCTCGGGAAGCAAGCATCACTCCATCCGAGGCAAACACTCCCATTAGGAAATAATCTGCATGCCCTCTTCTGCGCCATAGGCTACTTTTGTTCCAGTCTGGGTAAGAGCGCATTTATTCAATCTGTTGAGGCTTTTATTCCCCCTTATTCCACACAACCGTAGCACTGGTCACAGAATGAATGGAATGTTTCCAACTTAGAAGGAAAGAGGCTTGTCTCGAAATGTCTACTCAGCGGAGGCTATGTCCCTGCCTTGGGGAGAAAAACAATCACACCCCTATAAGCAAGGTGAATAGCGGGTCTGAAGAAACCAGTTCTTAGCCAACTGGCTATTATTACAGTACGATTTTCCCTAAAGTATATTTCTGAGAGTTAATCAACTTCTTGAAGAGACACATAGTAAGCCAGATTCACAGGCTGATAGCGCAGAAGCAATTTGTTGTTTTCTTGCTTTCAAACATCTGAATTGAGTCTCTCCACCTTGGGTATTAACCCTTCTACATCCAGAATTCTCTCCTGTGACTAACCCCTACTGGCCATTTTTTTTCCTCCCTAACTCCAACTCACCCTACCCACCTATGACCCATGAGACCCCTAGCATCTCCAGTATGTACAGGACAAAGTCAATCTTTGCTACATTCCCATTAGGGCCATCCAACCCAGACCGCTACACACCACCACCGCCACCCCTTTCTCTAAGCTGCTACACCAGTTCCCATTCACCTGTTTCTCAATTTATGGACTGCCTCCCCAAGTTTGTAAATCTCACTATCTACTCTTATATGTTCTTAAGAACCTTATTAGAATGTACTTCTTGCAAGACTCAATCTAACACACATCCATACACACTATTGTACAAAATAGTAGAGATTTTTAGAAGTCGTCTGTCTGTGGACAAACCCTCCCTGCCACAAACTAGCTGTATGACCCAGAAAATAACTTAACCTCTTTGCCCCCTTGGTTTCCTCATTTGCACTGCTGGTGTGCTAATAACACCCTACTTCAAAATGTGACAGTGAGAATTTATCCATAAGGAGTTTAGAATAGTAATATTATCATGACTATTATTCTACTTGAAATTCCATCCTGAAAGGCAATAGAGTTCAGTGTTTAACCACAATTTTAAACATAGGATGTATCCCAAAGCTTAAGATGGCTCAGAAATAACTAATTAAAATGTTGAGCACTCTCGAGTTCATCTTACACACAAGACCCGGAGGGAAGAATATTTCCACCCAACAGCTGCTGAACAAGCACTGAGAATAGCGAAAAGGAGGGTTTGCTAGACAGCCATTACTCATCACTGGACAGATATCAGCACACATTCTAATGACAGAACACCACCCTACACATCATTCATACCTGTCAAATAAGCCAGCTTGGACTTCCCCACACTAAAAACCTGACACGCATCAATAGACAGTAATTGCTACACATTTCTAAGCATCTGAATCCCTAAACAGGATGATTAGCACCCATATTTAATTTTGCTTCATTCCACGGGACACAGATAAACCACAGCCCAGCCCAACTGTCGCTTTGAAGTGATGTCTCATTGATGATTTATTGATCTCCCCTTCAAGATGCTTGGCTTTAGAGCAAAATGTCTTCACTGTTTTTCTGAAATGCTGTTTATTGACTGTCCCACTTTAAAGTTATAGGTTAGTGTAAAAATTTACAGGCTTGCCACTGGCAATGATGAAGGCGTTGATATAATTCAAGGTAAATATCAGCCTGAGCAAACCAGGAAAGTGACTGAGACCCAAGGCAGGATTTTGCTCACAGGTTCTGGAAGATACCCAGAACTCATGCTTACTGAGCACAGAAAATGCACTTGAACTCCATGTGGTGATGTCTCGGGAGAGGTGAAAATTCTATTGACATTCAGACATCAAACTCACATACAGATATAAATAAAAACAGCCTGACTCTCTAAATCAACAGCCACTGCTTAGGTACCTTCCATCCATTCTCATAAGTGTAAATTAGCCAGAGACAGGTAGGTAGACACACAGGGGATCTCTAACGGCTGCTGACAGTGACATATATTAGAATAAATCTTCCCCTAAGAGCTCAAACTTTAATTAGATTCTCAGAACCTAAGGAGCCAGAATTTCAGACTTGCCCCAACAGCAACTGAGGTGCAACTTTCCCCTGAATGCAGAAAACCCCTCTTCCTCCTTCACCCAGAGTAGGAACTAGACACAGTGCTAGCACTCCAGCTAAAAACATCACGGTAACCAGCTTGATCAGATCCCATGGTTAAAACAGACCATTTTGGACAGGAGGTGGTGGTGCATGCCTTTGATTCCAGCACTAGGGAGACAGAGACAGGTGAATCTCAGTGAGTTCGAGGCCAGCCTGGTCTACACAGCTACACAGAGAATCCCCTGTCTTGAAACAACAACAAAAAAACATTTGACATCTCTGAATCCATTGACAAATCGACAAGCAAATGATGCTACTAACTGCCCAAAACATGTTGGCTGACAGCCAGTCAAACAAGGACTATAATATATATGTATGCTACAATGGGGAGGGGAATGTGTAGCCATCATAATGCAAATGCCTTGAGTTTGGTAACACCAACAAGGCAGACTTTTATCTAGCATGCGGACTGATCCCAAGAGCTATACAAGCGTAATATGAGTCATGAAGGGAAAGACAGGCAGAAGACACTGGTTAGTTTTTCATGGCCTTAAAGGGGAGGGGGAGATTTATTTTGGCTCAGAGTCAGAGGTTTCAGCCATGGTCAGCTGTCTTCACTGCTTTGGAGCCTGCAGTAAGAGAGAAACACACGTGGAGGGAGGACAGAGCAGGGGGAAAGGCTGCTCACCCCCCTCGTGACAGCCAGGAGGAGAGAGGAAAAGAAAGGCCCAGGAAAAGGCGTATGTTTCGTGGGATGTAGCCAATGATCACTTCCTCAAACTAAAGTGGGCGATGTGAGTGGTCACGTGACCTAATCACCTCTCTGTGGCTTCACCAGCTAAGGACCAAGCCTTCCACAGGTGAGCTTTTGGTGGCGTCTGGGGGCCACTTCCTAACAAACCTTAACGGTCTCCCTCAATACAGCTTTCCTGCATACACAGGGCACTGGAAACACCCCAGAAGCTGGGTGTGGCAGTGCAGGCTCATCCCAGCACTCAGGAGGCAAAAAGACAGACAGACCCCTGTGAGTTTGAGGTGCCCTGGTCTCCGCAGAAAATTACAGGCCAGCCGGGGCTGCTCGGCGCGGTCCCACCTCAAGCCAAGCAAAGTCGCTGAAAACAACATCAATACCCACAAATGTTCAGGTCACGGCAACACTAGCTACCCTTGTTTTCTACAAGTCTCACCAAGCCAGGAAGGTCCAAGTTCTAAGACTGCTTCAGAAATAGCGGCATCACCCCAACCCTAGCAAACTGGAGAGCCTCCCTGCTGGCCACAGACTTTTCTCCGAATGCAAAGCTCTGGGAGCACTTAGAAGACCAAAATGCTTCTTAGGGACCGGAAGGGTCACTCCTCATAAAACCCAGTCCATGATTCCCACGGACAATAATTTTTATAACAAAGGTGACCTTTAAAAGAAGGGGTTCCTTAGGAACACTGTCAGTCTCTACATGTAAACCAAAGAAAGAACACCGACTCTTCCCGACAATAGCTTTCAACACGCAGACCCAAGGCAGTGTCTAGATCCCTGACCTAAACGAAGACTCCCTCCCTCCTGCGGGCTGACATAGCAGAGACTGGCCCCACAGCTCCGTTCCACATGAGTTTTCACACACAGCAGTGCACTGGGCAGTGTCTTTCCTCCCACTTTATTTTCTCCCAACGGTCCTGATGATTCACTTTCTGCTCTTCCTAATGACGCCATTGAGAGGATGGCGGTGCACGGCGCAATAAGGGCGGGGCGGGGCGGGACAGCGGCTGTGACCCATGCCCCCACCACAGATCAGAGGGTGGTCCGGACCCCCAAAACTCCACCGGAACTCAGATCCAGATATTTCCTCCGTCCTCAGGAAGATCAGGGCATAAAGTGAGTTCTAGACTCCAAAGGATGACAGCAGAACCCGAAGGCTAGGACCAAGAGAAGGACCACAGACAAACCTTTTCTCTGTAAACCAGAGGCTAGGGGAATGGAAGCTATAGCATTCCCTCGGAACCAAGGAACCAGACCGATTGGCTTGTTGACACTTTTCAAACAGAATTCTAAACCCTTGAGATTTAGTATCTCATCCCAGGGGATTCTGACAGAGGCCTGTGGTACCACAAAAGGACAAGGGGAAAACTTGGGGTCAGCTCTAAACTAGAAAAATCTAAGCACCCATGGGAGGAGCCAAAGGGCGTAAGGCCGCTGGAACTGATGGCAAAGCCACAGGATACGAAATTGGCATGAACGGGGTTCTTCTACCAGACGGCTCAGAAACATACGCTCAATCATTTTATATCCCCATAAGCTTTAGTTTCCACATCCACAACAGCGCCCACAGTAACAGGTGTGACGTTCCTAGCCCGGCATGTAGTACTGCAGGCAGAACAGGGTACCTAACCTGCTGTTGTACTGTGAGACGAAAAACATGAGAGCAAAGACAAACACAACAAAACACGGGTCCTCCCCGCACCCAAGGTAACTTCAAGACCAGCAGGGGAACTCTGGGTCAGTCAAAGGGCCCTTCTAAGATGCTACCCATACGAAGCCTCTTCCCAATCCTAAGAACTCGGCTGGACTTAGGAAGCTTAACACACATTTAGCATTTTCCACATTTAGTATTTTCCCTCCCTTGTATAAACAGTCAAAATCTAACGTCTTGGGCAGCCAAACTAGGGCTCATCGGGAAAAGGCACTTCCTGCCCAGTAATGCCAGCCTGAAGACCTGAGTTCAATCCTTGGAACTACATATAAAAGTAGGAGAGTCTCAACAAAGTCTGACCTCCACATATTAGCTGTG